AGCCACATTGAATACATTTTTAAGAGAGATGTTTTCTTCAATGTGGATAGGGTTTGTGATATTGTTAGTCTAGTCTTCAGATATAGCGCAGAGTAAAATACTGTGCTTCATGGCCTGGCTTGGGAATCTAACCACCAGGGATACTATTAAAAATGCTTCATAACCAGTAGGGTAAAGGAGCCAAAACAACCAGTATGCTCTTTCTATATCTTATAACCAAATATTATCAAATGGTTTGGCTACAATCAGCTCCCCTGGAAACCTGTTACTCTTGTTTCAAACAAATGACTTATACCTGGCTCTGTGGAACCTTTTAGGGACTCCTAATAATAAAATGCTTGCTCAGTAAGGCAGCTTATGCTTGATCTGCCCTGTTCTGATAAAAAAAAATTTTTTTTTCCCCAAAATTTTCTCTTTCCCTCATAAAATAACAACCAGCCACTATGGCACTGTCAAAGAACTGCAACAGTATACTTCATTTTTCAGGGGAGGAGACCCTGCTTTAACTGCTGATAATCTGAAATTTACTTCCAACCTCATGGCAAGTACACAGGAAGGGCAACACTTTGCTTATGGCTTCCTCCACCCCTTTTATATTCTGTTAGGCAGAAAAATAAACATGGGAAAAGCTAATAAATGTTTAATCTATTCAGTAAATGCATTTTAGGATGAAGTTAGCAAGTTTCACTTAACTATAACCAAAAGTATCTCCAATATTCAGCAACAACTAAGCTGAATGAGAAGAAAATGAGTTACTGATGTACTGTGTATTTAATTCATTCTCTACATAGAGCACGGATGAGATATATAAAGAATATAGTTGGGATTACTCTATGTATACAGTAATGCTATCTTAAAATTCACAAAAATGACGAACCAGGGCTAGTCTTACATAAATGTGGACTTCGAATAATATACAATCTGGGATATGGAAGCATACACAAACTGTAATAGTGTACTTCATAATGAAACAAAAAACTGAAGAAAATTCTACCATGTAGTTAGTATAGATATATATGTATTTTTTTTTAAGACAGAGTTTCACTCTGTCGCCCAGGCTGGAGTGCAGTGGCGCAGTCTTGGCTCACTGCAACCTCCGCCTTGCAGGTTCAAGTAATTCTCCTGTCTCAGCCCCCTGAGTAGCTGGGATTACAGGTGCCAACTTAATTTTTAAAAATTTTTAAAATTTTTGGTAGAGACGGGGTTTCACAGTGTTGGCCAGGCTGGTCTCAAAATCCTGACCTCAAGTGATCCGTCTGCCTCTGCCTACCAAAGTGCTGGGATTACAGGCATAAGCCACTGTGCCCAGCCACGCTATTGTTATTTTTAAACCACTTCGATACATGGTTCATCCTCATAAATGGTGATAGTGAGAACCAAACTATTTTGTTGAAGTTACAGGCACAAGAAGTCAAGATTTTTGGATTGACTGTTTAATATGTAAATCTTTAGACTTTCAGATAAGGTAATTTTATTTTTTATTTGTTATTAAACATTCCAGCAGCATCAGAATTGAGCTGACCTCTGAAGCAACTCTTGAGACTACTCTTTGGATCTTTTTTGTGAATAGTGACAGGGATTAACATAATTTAAATAAATTACAGTTTTGCTTTTGATTATTGTAATGCCTCACAAGGGGCAGGAGGAAAACTGGATTTTGTTGCTGGTCTTAGGTTATTCTGATGATCTATTAGGGAAGGCAGACTAAGCTTGAGAATAGATAAGTACATGTTTATTTGTTATGATATACAGTATAAAATGTGACCAGAGCCTTTTCCTCTTTCAGATTTTATAATTTACTTTCAAATTTGTGGTTATATAAAACTTATGAATCAATTCATAAACCCAGGGAGCCAATAATGCCCACAAAAACAACAGACCTGGTAATCTAAAATGTTAGGTTACTGGCAGTAACAAGATTAAAAGCTGGAAATGTTTGAGCTGAATGAAAAATTTTATTAAAACTCAAAGTTATCAATAACTATTTTTATATGATTTAATAGCCACAACTACTGATATAAAATATAGAACAGTTCAAAGCTAAGTAATTTCATTTATATTAAATGCAATTATTTGAAATCATAAATTTTTAATGCAATTATTTAAAGAGAGATTTTCTTTAGGAAACCTTAAAGATACATACATTTAAGCATGTCTGAGTTTCTGGGCAAAGTCTCCACCATGTTTTCACATGCTATCTAATCATTACCTAAAAATGGCCCAATTTTTGCCATTATCAAAATAGTCTTATTTCAAACACAAAATATAATTCAAACAATTCTGTAATCCTTCTCATTAACACATAATTGAAAAATTGAATAATTTTTTTTTTTAACTGCAGGTAAATTACTGGAAAAGCTTTGGTGACATGTTGAGAGAATAGAGATCAGTAACATGGTGGGATGTTTAGAAGTCACTGGTAGGACAAGCATGAAGCAGTAGAAAAGGTTCAACAAAGCCTGCTTAGAGAGGAGTGACGGGAATGAGCCTCAACGGGATAGGTAAAGGAATAAAACACAATCTCGACCCGGGAAAGTGATTGAGGAAGGGCTTCTTAGCAAAGGGTGGTGTTTTTGATGTATTTACCTGTCCCCTCTGAATTTTTCTGAAGTTCTGTGTCTCCGCAATTCCAGCTTTGATTCAAAGAGGTCCGTAATAAATTATAGTAAGCCACAAGGTTTCTTTCCTGAGATGTCAGATAACTTCAAATTCATATTTATAACATTGTTTTCTAAACCTAATTTTTAATATCCCACTATTTTTTAGGACTATCTGTAGCTCTAAATACAAAGGAGTTTTTGTTTTTGTTTTTTTGAGACGGAGTTTCGCTCTTGTTACCCAGGCTGGAGTGCAATGGCGCGATCTCGGCTCACCGCAACCTCCGCCTCCCGGGTTCAGGCAATTCTCCTGCCTCAGCCTCCTGAGTAGCTGGGATTACAGGCACGCGCCACCATGCCCAGCTAATTTTTTGTATTTTTAGTAGAGATGGGGTTTCACCATGTTGACCAGGATGGTCTCGATCTCTTGACCTCGTGATCCACCCGCCTCGGCCTCCCAAAGTGCTGGGATTACAGGCGTGAGCCACCACGCCCGGCTTTTTTTTTTATTTCCCATGTATCTTAGCAGCTTTCTGGTAGTACAGAATTTGAAGGAAGATGAAGTTTTCTATTTTATTAGCTAACATGTCTTTATTAGACTGCTTTCAAAATGCATAATATACACTGGGGTTAAATTTCAATGGCCTCAATCTCTGGATTGAAGTTCTGAAATTTGGATACATGAAATAATTATTTTTTAAAGCATTCCAATGGGGCAAAGTGATGACGAAAATGTTCTGTGGAAAATATATAAATTTTATACTAACAAAACTATGTTACTTTTAAAAATTAAAATAAGAAAAATGATTTAACACTTTTCAAAGGGTTATCCTAATGTAAAATCCCTCTTTAAATACAACTAATTTAAAGTAGCACATTACTATTTTGTTTCAAACAGACAAATATAAATATGCAAGCATTTGTCTTACAACATTTTCTATAGTAACCTCTTTATTTGATAAAATATTTAAGTTTGGACATTTTGAAACAAGCTAGAATAAGTTTTAGCTTAATTTACATGAAAAAATGCATTCAATGAAAGAAACTATGTCTTGTAACAAAAAGATTCCTATCAAATTAAAAATTAATAGAGCATTTTATAAAAACTAAAATATGGGAGAGGAGAGAGTCACTCCTTGTTCATTGCCACTTTTTAAAAATTTTGAGACAAAAGTCGCACTCTGTTGCCCAGGCTGGAGTGCAGTGGCACGACCTCGGTTCACTGCAACCTCCGCCTCCAGGGCTCAAGCGATTCTCCTGCCTTAGCCTCTCAAGTAGCTGGGATTACAGGTGTGCACCACCATGCCTGGCTAACTTTTGTATTTTCAATAGACATGGGGTTTTGCCATGTTGGCCAGGCTGGTCTCAAATTCTTGACCTCAGGTGATTCACACACCTCAGCCTCCCAAAGGCTGGGATTACAGGCGTGAACCACCATGCCCGGCCCATTGCAACTTTCAGTTTTGAACATTCACCTCAACAAGCCACACCTGGTATCACCGCTGAGATAATGCTAGGAACTGTAGGTCACTATAAAACTGGCTCCACATAAGTTGGCGAAAACCAAACACTGGAAGTACACAGCAAACAGGGAATAAGGACAGGCAACTAAAAGTCACCTCCACTATACACGTCACCCATCTTCCTTTCTTCTTTCCTTCCTACCCCCCCACTTCTCTTTTTTTTTTTTTTCCTTTTGAGACAGTCTTGCTCTGTCACCCTGGCTGGAGTGCAGTGGTGCGACATCTTGGCTCACTGCAACCTCTGCCTCCTGGGTTCAAGCAATTCTTGTGCCTCAGCCTCCTGTGTAACTGGGATTTCAGATGTTCACTGTGACGCCAGGCTAATTTTTGTATTTTTAATAGAGACAGTTTCCTCCATGTTGGCCAGGCTGGTCTCAAATTCGTGGCCTCCAGTGATCTGCCTACCTTGGCCTCCCAAAGTGCTGGGATTACAGGCGTAAGCCACTGTATCTGGCCGACTTCGCTCATCTTTAGACCCCGCTTTGGGAAAACAGAGCGTACTACATTCACCCTCCATCTTGCCTTCCAACAAGACAATTCACAGCTTGGTGTCTGCTCCTTTAATTAGGTCAACTCCAAGCTAAGATAAGCCTCAATGAGTAGGTGTTTTAATGGGATAAGAAGGAAGTCTAGAGAATTTAGGCTCTCAATTTTAGGTGACCCAGCATTTATATCCCCCTTTACCTCCAAACCTGTCCTTTTTCCCTGTTTATTATGGAATTCCTGAATTCACCTGGTCAAGGATTTCATATTCTGTCACTTGTAAAAGTCATGTCATTAATTCGAAGTGACTGAAATAGCTGAGTAAGCTGGAAAACCGTACTATATTTAAGAAGTTCCATTAAGCAGTAAAAAGTAAGAAAATCTCTACGAATCCCACCTGATGATCCAAATATATGGTGTTCCTTTGGAGATGATGTGAAAGAATTTCATTCTAGTAGGCACCAATTAAGAAAAAAGGGATAGAGAAAGAGGATGTGGAATTCAAGAAAAGGTCAATTTTGAAATAAGAAAAACAGGTAATTTACTATAACCTATTATATCACAGTATACAACAATTTTTGTGCACATGCTCCCCTGTAAATGGTACCGATGACATATAAAATTATAAAATTATATTTTGTTTTGTAAGAAATTAAGTATACATGCATATGAACAATGAACTATTAAGCAGAAAAATTCCTTAAAATGGCTTTAGCAAACTGTTAGAACTTCTACGTTATTTCCTGTAATATAGTACTACTTCTTTCAATAAGATGTTTCTTATATAACCTGAGCTACAAACCCTTTGAGAAATGGTTATGAGTTCATTCATTAAAAATAGAAGACATTTAAAAATTAATCTTTAACATTTCAAAGGCAGTATTATTAAAGCTGTAATGAATTTCCAATTCATTGTTTTACTAGAAATTATAGGACTTCTCAATATTTGTTTTATCAGATGTGGAAGTCATAGTATTCAGTGAATAACAACATGAAGTTAATGCATACATGAAGTATTACATGCATTTCCTTCCTCAAAACCAAAGACAGTGGGTGAGCGGGTGGATAGAAGGCTAAGAAGAAATGCACCCTACCTGTATTGTCTTTCAGTAATGTATAAATAAGCAGAATTCTCAAAGGGTTAATAGGAGATTCTAAGGTTGTCACCATGATGGTATGGGCTCATGCTCAATACTAATGATACTGATCATACTAACTAATGAGTGGTTCAAAATAAGTAATGATGGCAGACAACACAGACAGATCTCTCAATAGCTGACCTTTGGGCTGTGGGCCTCAAGCTTTAGCTGCATGAGCTGTGCTAACGTATGCTCCCGGATACTACTCAGTTCGGCTTGTTGCCGTCTCAGCTTTATTAGCAGCAGTGTAAGCTCCTCTGGCTGAAGGAGTACAATTTAAGAATCCAAACAGTGGAAAACAGATTAATTGTTGTCTTAAGTGACAGATATTAAACCAATATTTCTTGGCAAGTTTCCTCTTATGGTTGACATCAAACATAGTGCCTAGGCACTATGATGATAGGTCCTACATAAATGCATAGATATCTAGAGAAATAGAAGGAACAGTGTTACTTTAAAAGACACAGCAAAACAACAGTATATTAAGGCATTTTCTCGAACTCATGAGAATATTTAAATGTTCAGTACAAAAAAGCACAATGCCAAAAAGCCATTAGAAAGGTTTGTACATAAGTGCTGCTAAAAAATTATCAAAAGATATTTTAGTAAGATGTCTAAAAAATTACACCTTTTCTAGCAATAGCACAAATACCTGCATGTCCAACTTTCTAACAGAAGGTACATAAAATAATTAAAATTAATGTAGGCTGGGCACAGTGGATCACGCCTGTAATCCCAGCACTTTGGGAGGTTGAGGCGGGTGGATCATGAGGTCAGGAGTTCGAGACCAGCCTCACCGACACGGTGAAACCCCGTCTCTACTAAAGACACGAAAAATTAGCTGGGCATGGTGGCGCATGGCTATAATCCCAGCTACTTGGGAGGTTGAGGCAGGAGAATTGCTTGAACCCAGGAGGCAGAGGTTGCAGTGAGCCGAGACCATGCCACTGCACTTCACCCTGGGCAACAGGGCGAGACTCTGTCTTAAAATAAATACATAAATAAAATAAAATAAATGTAAAACTTGGATATCTTCACATTATTAAACTCGGTATCTGGGTTCAATTAATCACTTCCCAGTTTTATTCTGAAATGACAATGTTAGTGTTTTCATAGCATTTTTTATGACCGAAAGATCAGTTTTATTTTTTAATTAAAAGAGAAAGTTTCCATGGGCACGTAAACCCTCCTTCTTCGCTCTGGGAAAAGCAGATAACTTGTTTTTGATTCCTGATTGGTGACTATGATCCAAAGAAAAAAAAAAAACCAACAAATTTTCAATGGTGGATGAAATTCCTTAATGGGCCAGTTTGATATACTTTTCTTAGACATACAGTAAAGTACGGGCATTGGCAGTCTTACAGCCCATAAAGTATTACTTGGTACATCTCTGAGCTTTGTTATGATTAAAAAATGAAAGTGGGCCAAAGGGAGACTCTCCTCACTTGAGTGCTACAATGTGCTCTTAGAACTTCCAGGCTAAAAAACTATTTCTGAGATTGGTTTGTTTTGCCTACACCACAGCGTTGCACTAGCTCTCTTCTGTTCTGTTTATTTGCTATTGCTCTTTATTTCCCTATAATTCTTTTCAAAAACAAATCATTTTTAATTGGTATCTGAAATCATATTAAAAATTATTGCCTTCAGACAGAAAAAGTGTTAGTAGAAGTAAACTATGGTTACTATTGGATTCCTTAGATAAAACTGGGTATACACAGGTGAGACAACAGTCTTTTACTGCATAATAAACGGTCAAACAATGTTTGGTGTGTGAGATTTAAAGAATAAGCCACGTAAGAGTAAAAGAACAGCTGCTTTTGCTCTGATTCCAATCCTATCTCGTGACCTCATGATGCTAGATGATCCTTGTTTTATGATCATCATATCCGGCACCTGAAGTCTTGCCAGGGAGAAGGTAAGGTGGGGTAAGAGATTTAGGTATTCTAAGAACCCAGGGTGATACCACAAGAAATACTGAAACTCTGGTTTATTATTTATGGAGTTAAAAACATTAAGAGATCTTCAAAAGGATGAAAGATCCTTTATTTAGATTTTGAGGTCAAACAATAACTTTATTTAGATTTTGAGGTCAAATAAATAGGCACATTTGACCAAAGAAAGTAGGAGGTGGGAAATAAATTTTATGCTACATTTCCACTAGAGGGAGTAAGGAGGAGAGAAATATTTGTGGTATGATATTAGCATTTACTTTATGATTAATGCCTATTTGTCAGGTCAAAAATCTAATGTTTTAAAATTCCAACATTTAAAAGGTCTTCGTTTTAATCAAGTAATATTTATAATCTTTGACAAATAAACTGCAAGTAGCTTAAAGCAAGGAAATACTTCCTTTTATCTAAACATGTAAAAGATAAAACAATGTTCTTAACAAAACACATAAGATGAATTTGTTTTGATTACTCCAGAAGAGAATTTTAAATAATGAATGGGTGCTAAAATCACACCTTTACAGAAACTATCTACTGACAATAAAGCCAGTGCCCTGATAAAAAAAAAATAAATTAAATAAAAAAAAAAATTAAAGTGAGGAAAAGTCATCTTTTCTCTTTAACTAGAACAGTGTCCTTTCCAACGGAACATAACACTGATAATGAAATGATAATGGTAAATGCTTCCGTTGACCGAATGTTTGTTACAGTCTTCTTTTTCTGCTGATACGTAAATCAGTTTCTTTTATTAACTGTTAATCTTCAGATTAACTCTAAAGAAGTTAATCTAAAAATTCACAGGGAAAACATAATACACCATAGTTTGACTACAAATAGCTGCTTGCTGGATTTGTTCACTAATGAATGACTGTAACTTCTGTTTTAATAAGGGAATTAACAAAGAAATCCATCTACCTCATACAATAAAGTTTCTTTTTTTTTTTTTTTTGAGACAGTCTAGCTCTGTCACCCAGGCTGGAGTGTAATGATGTGATGTTGGCTCACTGTAACCTCTACCTCCCGAGTTCAAGTGATTCTCCTGCCTCAGACTCCCAAGTAGCTGGGATTACAGGCATGTGCCACCATGCCTGGCTAATTCTGTATATTTAGTAGAGACGGGGTTCACCATGTTGGCCAGGCTGGTCTCGATCTCCTGACCTCAGGCTATCTACCTGCCTCAGCCTTCCAAAGTGCTGGGATTATAGGCATGAACCACCACACCCGGCCATAAAATTTCAAAATATAATCTTTTATTTAGGCAGTCAGACACTTAGGAAAAGGTATCCACTAAAACACTAAAATGGATACATGATTCCAAATTCTTCTGATGAACATCTCTTGCACAAAAGCAGTAGTTTTTTCTTTGGGAGACACCTCTGAAAATCCAAACTTAAAAAACTACGTTAGATATGTATCTTCCTGTGCAGCACATAAATAAAACATGGTATGGTAAATAAAGATATTACTCACCGTTTTCCCTTGGAGGCTCTGGGGACTAACAGACTGTAAAGTCAGGCCAGCTGGCACTGACCTTCTGTCAGGCACATAGACATGCTAGGAAAGTAAAGGCACAATGTAATTTTGTGGTAAAGTTGTTTTTTTTTTCTTGTCAATGTCAGCAAGGACAAATCTTAAATTCATATTATGAAATACCATTTCAAATTGCTATTAGTGCCTATGAAAGATAATAGAGACTAAAATTTCTGTTTCATAAAATACTGATGTGGGGCTGGGCGCAGTGGCTCATATCTGTAATCCCAGCACTTTGGGAGGCCAAGGTGGGAACACTTGAGGTCAGGAGTTTGAGACCAGCCTGGCCAACATGGTGAGATCCCCGTCTCTACTAAACATACAAAACATTAGCCAGGCATGGTGATGTGCGCTTGTAATCCCAGTTACTTGGGAGGCTGAAGTGGGAGAATTGCTTGAACCCAGGGGGCAGAGGTTGCAGGAGGCCGAGACAGTGCCAATGCTCTCCAGCCTGGGCAACAGAGTGAGACTGTCTCAAAAATACAAAAACAACAACCAAAAGAACAAAAACAACAACAACAAAAAAACAATAACAGATGTGGATGGACAGAGTAATTCTTTGTTTTGTTTTGAGGCAGAGTCTCACTCTGTTGCCCACGCTGGAGTGTAATGGCACAATGTCAGCTCACTGCAACCTCCACTTCCCAGGTTCAAAAAGATTCTCCTACCTCAGTCTCTCAAGTAGCTGGGATTACAGGTGCATACCAACACGCGTGGCTAATTTTTGTACTTTTAGTAGAGACAGGGTTTCATCATGTTGGCCAGGCTGGTCTCTCCTGGCCTCAAGAGATCTGCCTACCTTGGCCTTTCAAAGTGCTTGGATTACAAGCATGAGCCACAGTGCCCTGCCTGAACAGAGTAATTCTATGGCCTGGCTTAGAGGTTCTCTAAAACTCTTTGGCTTCAGGATCCCTTTAAATTTTTAAAAAGAAAATTTAGTGGCACGAGTGGCATTGTTTTATATTTTTGCAAATCTTTAATGTATACCTGCATTCTTGTATCTGCTTCTGTATTTAATCTGTTGTGATAATCTCTTTTAGTAGAAGTATGTAAAAAAAAAATCTACCCTCAATATATATAGTTGTAAAAAGGAAGAGAACTTTAATAGTTTCTCTTGATAATTATAGATGTTCATCTTTGACATTGCGCTATAGCTCAAAAAAGTGGTACTTCGTTTTTTAAAGGTTAGTGTGGTATCCAAAACCTTATCAATGACCTTTTGATACTCTGTTACATAAAACATCCACTGGTCTATTTGTACTTCAAGTGAATCTTGCAATATCAAACACTGGTCATCTGGAAAAAATTGGTTCAGTGAGTTATGAAATGTTCCAAATGTTGACATACGTTAGTATACAATATAAAAAATCACTAATGTTAATATCACCACCAATCTCTAAGCACCGGAAAGCTGTCAAGTTCAGAGTGGCAGATACATGATTTCCAAAATTCTATTTTTTGCTTGAAAACTCCAATGTTGTCATCAGTGACAAATACTGTCAGTTGTTTTCCTTGAAGTGACAGGATAGCATTCACTTTGAGAAAATGTGTCTATCAAATACCATGTCTGAATATTGATAGTTGCCTTTTGTTCAAGTAAAAACGTGTTTTTTTTCACAAAAAAAAGGAGCTAATTCAGCTTGCAACTCAATCACATTTTTCTGTGAGACAACCATTAGCACTTTGGTATGCCACAGAAATGCTCTGTGCATTTACCATTTCATCACAAGTAATAGTAAAAGAATATGTAACAAAAGGTTAAGGTTCAATAAAATTATTTTCTACTGTTTCATGAACGAGATTTATAAGTGAACCGGATACTTTTTCACTTGAAGTGTGTGGCAGTGAAAGACATAATGACCACCAGTATAGTCTGGAGCCACTGCCTTGATTTATGCTAAGGTGCCAGAAATTATACTCACCATAGCAAATGGGAACAAAATGAATAATGCCTGATTATGATTATAAAAATAGTTCTGACTCCCTGAAAGGGTCATGGGGAGGGAACTCCCACAGGGGTCCATGAACTACACTTTGTGAACCACTGATCTAGAACAAGGAAGAGGATAGGATAGTTTGAAAGAAAAATTTAGCAATTTTGGAGAAGTCTTTTAGGAGTAGCAGTAGTAGATAGTTGGGAATTGGATAGAGAATATAGATTCATCTCATATTTGCTGTTGAAACAGATGATATATTATGGGTAAGAACATGAAAAATACTATTAACCACAAAAGCATGTAATTTAGAGCCACTTGTTATACCACACACTGTATTAGATCAAATTTTTCTTATATATTGTTACTATTTTTATCAATCATGATTTAGTCTTTAAGTACAAAGTGAGGAAACATGAACTTTGTTACAATGGAGTTCTAAGTGAGCCTTTTTTTGAGGCAAATTAAAGCTTTCTTCAAAGGAAAATTCCTGATTAATTTATTAATTTCCTTTTTTTTTTTTTTGGTGATGGAGTCTCGCTCTGTCAACCAGGCTGGAGTGCAGTGGCACAATCTTGGCTCACTGCAACCTTTGCCTCCTGGCTTCAAGGAATCCTCCTGTCTTAGCTTCCTGAGTAGCTGGGATTACAGGTGTGAGCCACCATGCCTAGCTAATTTTTATATTTTTAGTAGAGACAGGGTTTCACCATGTTGGTCAGGCTGGTCTCGAACTCCTGATCTCGTGATCCACCCGCCTCAGCCTCCCAAAGTGTTGGGAATAAAGGCGTGAGCCACCATTCCTGGCCTAATTTATTAATTTCTAACAAATGCTTATTTGTGGAAATATCAAGCAAATGCTTTATGTAATAATGCAGCTGAAAGATTCAGCCTGTCACAAGGATAAGTATTTAAAAATAGTATAAAGCAATAACCTATTATTATTATTTTATTTTCTTTACCCTTATCTTCCTATGACTAAAACAATTATTATTACTTTTTAAGTCAGAGTCTTGCTCTGTTGCCGAGGCTGGGGTGCAGTGGCACAAGCACAGCTTACTACAGCCTCAGTCTCCCATGTTCAAGTGATCCTATGGCCTTGGCTTACCAAAATGTTGGGATTACAGGCATGAGTCACTATGGTTGGCCAAGAAATTCTTAAGTATGAAAAAAAAGAGCACCTTAGAATAGACATTAAGGAACTGGCTGTGTACTAGCTGACTAATCAAAACCACTGCTTTACAATTATGAAAAGCTGATTGATACAAGACACACTGACTTCGCTTCAAATAAGCTATATTAAGCAATGCTTAAACTAACTTAATGTACAAAGTAAAACATGATCTCCTTTTTAAAAAATGTATACATAACATTATGCTCCTCTAATATTAAATTGAGTGTTTAAGGATATATTTCATTATGTCATATATTCAGTTGGTTAGAAGATAGTTAACACTTTTATCCTCAAGAACAACAGGATGAACTTGATATAAAATTGCTAGAAGAGGATAGGTATAGAATTCGCAAGTGTATGAAAAGCCAATAAAAATGCATCTGGTCCAGAGAAGGCACAGTGGCTCATGTCTGTAATCCCAGTACTTTGGGAAGCCGAGGCCAGTGGATCACTTGAGGTGAGGAGTTCAAGACCAGCCTGGGCAACATGGTGAAACTCCATCTCTACTGAAAATACAAAACTTAGCCTTCATGGTGGTACATGCCTATAATCCCAGCTACTCTGGAGGCTGAAGCAGGAGAATCGCTTGAGCCCAGGAGGTGGAGGTTGCAGTGAGCTGAGATTGTGCCTCTGCATTCTAGCCTGGGCAATACAGTGAGACTCTGTCTCAAACAAAACAAAACAAAAAAACCCCACCCCAAATCCAAAACAAACAAAAAAACTGTGTGTGGTATTAATCTACACGGAGAACTGATGAGATAGGGTATCAAGCAGAGAATACAGAATTCATCTGCTCAAAAGAACTGCTCCTGCGCTCCTAAGAGATGAAATGTTGCAATTAGGTATTTTTTATACATGAGATCTTAACATTGCAAAATATTTTAATTTTTTTTTTTTTTTGGTGACAGAGTCTCGCTCTTTAGCTCAGGCTGGGGTGCAGTGGCGTGATCTTGGCTCACTGAAACCCATGCTTCCCGGGTTCAAGCGATTCCCCCACCTCAGCCTCCTGAGTAGGTGGGACTACAGGCGACTGCCACCACACCCAGCTAATTTTTTTTATCTTTAGTAGACACAGGGTTTCACCATGTTGGCCAGGCTGGTCTCAAACTCCTGACCTTGTGATCCACTCACCTTGGTCTCCCAAAGTACTGGGATTAAAGGCATGAGCCACTGTGCCTGGCCCTTTTATTTAATTTTTAAAACAAGAAAGAGCTGCCTTGCTTACTTTCTCCCCATTGTCTTGTCTCTCACACTAGAAAGAAAACATTGCTGGGCGCGGTGGCTCAAGCCTGTAATCCCAGCACTTTGGGAGGCCGAGGCGGGTGGATCACGAGGTCAAGAGATCGAGACCATCCTGGTCAACATGGTGAAACCCTGTCTCTACTAAAAATACAAAACATTAGCTGGGTATGGTGGCGCGTGCCTGTAATCCCAGCTACTTAGGAGGCTGAGGCAGGAGAATTGCCTGAACCCAGGAGGTAGAGGTTGCGGTGAGCCGAGATCAGGCCATTGCACTCCAACCTGGGTAACAAGAGCGAAACTCCGTCTCAAAAAAACAAAACAAAAAACAAAAAAAACAAAACAAAAAAAACACAGCATTTATAAAGTAGTGAGTTAACACAAAATCAGCAGCTATTTTACCTTAGGATGGTGGGCCCTGTGTCTGCGGTCTATTGTCACATCTCCTCTCTGAATTGGTGAAGATACTTCCGATCTGTAAGTTCGTTGAGGGGAGTATCCCTGATAAGCAGCTATTGACCCGTGGGAAGGTGATGTGGGAATAGAGTGCATTGTCTGGTCAGAAATATTAACCATGGTTTTGGGACTACTCAAAGAACTGTGTCGAGGGAGGGTGCTCTGTTTATTGTAAAACTGACGCTGCTGCCACTCGTAGAGCTGCCACATTGTGTCATCTCTCATGGACCTCCGTTTCTCTTCTGCTCCAGGTCCTAAGCTCTTGTCATGAGTGGAAGGGGTTACACTGCAGATACTTTCAGGCCTTGTCTTGCTGTTTCTTGGGAGTGTTCTATAGCCTTCAGGGTAGCGGGCCATAATCTGGGCTCTGTGGCTTGGCATATTTCTTGGTAATGTTTGGTAAGAAATTACTCTAAAATAAAAAAAATAATTAAAATGTAAAAATGAAGGAGAGTTATTAATATTCCAAATTAGTGTACATTTCTTTTGTTCCAGTAAGTAAAATATATACCAGAATATACATATATATATATATATATATATATATATGTTTTTTGGAGATGGAGTCTTACTCTGTCGCCCAGGCTGGAGTACAATAGCTTGATCCAAGCTCACTGCAACCTCCGTCTCCCAGGCTCAAGCGATTCTCCTGCCTCAGCCCCCTGAGCAGCTGGGATTACAGGCATCCTCAATGATGCCTGGCTAATTTTTGCATTTTTAGTAGAGACAGGGTTTCATCACATTGGCCAGGATGGTCTTGAATTCCTGACCTCAGGTAATCCACCTGCCTCAGCCTCCCAAAGTGTTGGGATTACAGGCATGAGCCACCATGCCCGGCCTAGAATATATATTTTTTTAAAGATCGAAATAGCATACAAGGTATAAACTATTAACAGACTTTAATCTTTTTATGAAATTCTATTTGACAAACTTAATACAGGGTGAACAGCATCTATATCAATTACACAAAAGACTATTAGTTTCACACAATGTATAGTTTGGTTTGAAGATGAAAGAGTATTATTCTTCATTTGAGAAATAAGAATGTTCAAAATCTCATCTCAATTCTGTCCTTATATTTTATTTGTTTTTACATAAATAAATTCTCATTTTCATACATCTTATCAGAGGACTAGGATGGATGGAATGTATGTATATTTCATCTATGTATTGATGAAATATGAAGTGAGTTATACCCACAGAGCATAGTTTTCTTTCAGGAAGCATGGTTATTTATGGGAGTAAATACATCAGTACATTTGGTTTGGAGGAATAACTTCCTTTCATAGCTTTTCCTAACTTGAAATATAAAAATGATTGTAGCTGAAGCTCAGAATTCTATTATTTAAAGATAAAATACTTAAATATCACAATATTTCAGATATAAATCTGCAATCTAAGCAATTTTACAATGTTTCCAGCACAGGAATTAATAATCCACTTCATAGATGGTGGAATATTTTTCAGGGGGCTTTTTAAAGCAATCTAAAAATGCTTCATGTACATTATACATGCAAAGTATAATTCTTTTAAAATGCTAATTTTGGGAATTGGATATGTAATTGCATATTACTAAGCACAAAATATTACCATTTCCAAAAATGAAAGAATAAATTTCAGTTACTATTTTTAAAAAAAAAACTTTGATAAACACACTCTTTGAATTTATAAAACTATCACAGTGCCAACTTCATGCTAGGTGAAATCCATGATAAAAAAAAACTTTTTTAAAGTTAGGTAGGGGAGCCAGGAAAAAAAAAGAAAAAAGAAGTCAATTAAAAACTCTGTGTAAAGTTAGCATTTTTGTTTCCCTATAATCTTTTTTTTTTTTTTTTTTAATGTTTCCCTCTGTCGCCCAGGCTGAAGTGGATTGGTGCAATCTCAGCTCACTGCAAAGTCCACCACCCAGGTTCAAGCGATTTTCCTGCCTCAGCCCCCTGAGTAGCTGGGACTACAGACACCAGCTTCCATGCCCAGCTAATTTTTTGTACTTTCGTAGAGACATAGTTTCACCATGCTGTCCAGGGTGATCTGGAACTCCTGAGCTCAGGCAATTGGCTTGCCTTGGTCTCCCAAACTGTCAGGATTACAGGCATGAACGCCTGGCCGTCTATTCCCTTTTGAAACAGAAGTGTAGATATAATTCGAATTCTAAATACAAACATAATTTTTTTTTTTTGAGATGGGGTCTCACCCTGTCGCCTAGGTTGAAATGCAGTGGGGTACACTGCAGCCTGGACCTCCTGGGCTTAAGTGATTTTCCTGCCTCAGCCTCCTAAGTAGCTAGGATTACAGGTGTATGCCACCATGCCTGGCAAATTTTTTATTTTTCCCAAACATAACTTTTTAACAACCACCACCACAAGAAAATCTAGATTAGACAAAGCAGGATTAGGCTGGGTGTGCTGGCTCACGCCTGTAATCCCAGTACTTTGGGAGACCAGGGTGGACAGATCACTTGAGGCCAGGAGTTCGAGACCAGCTGGGTCAACATGGTGAAACCCCACCTTTACTAAAAATACAAAAATCAGCCAGGCATGGTGGTGCATGACTATAATCCCAGCTACTTGCAAGGCTGAGGCAGGAGAATTGCTTGAACCTGGGAGATGGAGGTTGCAGTAAGCTGAGATTGTGCCACTGCACTCCAGCCTGGGTGACAGAGAGAGACTCTGTGCCCTCCCCCAACCCCCCCAAAAAAAAGAAAAAGAAAAAGAAAGATTAAATTACAAGTATTTATCTTATACTATCACCTCCATAGGCAGGTGATATTTATATCCTAATACAAAAGTCAACGTATTCAATGAACCAAGTATGTGGAAGGATTGAGACCCCACAAACTGAGGTTTCCGGATCTCTTCTTTCAACGTTTAGTTAACAACTTTCTCCTAATATTATATGGGCTCCTACTGGTTGGGAAAATGTCAGAGATACTGGTGATTACATGGACCATAAGGGATTAAAGATTTGATGGGAAAATTATTTGACCATACTCTTAATAATCTGGGACTCCGCTGATAATCTGCATATAAGAGCTCTCTGTTGACCAAAAGACTTGTCAGCAACACTGCACAAATACTGATATATTACTGTTAAGACTTTAGGCTGGTGCAGGGGCTCACCCCTATAATCCCAGCACTTTGGGTGGCCAAGGCAGGTGGATCACTTGAGGTCAGGAGTTCAGCATAGCAAAATCCCATCTCTATAAAAACTAGAAATTATTAGTTGGGTGTGGTGGCGTGCTCCTGTACTCCCAGCTACTCAGGAGGTTGAGGCAGGAGAATTGGTGGAACCCGAGAGGTGGAGGTTGCAGTGAGCTGAGATTGTACCACTGCACTCCAGCCTGGGCAACAGAGGGAGGGCTCTGTCTCAAAAAAAAAAAAAAGAGATTTCATTGTGATTAGGTGTGATGAATTGAGTGCATTCTGGATTATGAGGCAAACAATTAATTAAATACGGAGTTTGGGTCTATTGGGATAGTAAAATTATGTTACTTTTATACTAAGAGGAAAATCTCATGTTTTATTTATTTTTTATTTTTTTTAAAGACGGGCTTTCACCATGTTGGTCAGGCTAGTCTTGAACTCCCGACCTCAGATAATTTGCCCGCCTTGGCCTCCAAAGTGCTGGAATTACAGTTGTGAGCCACCACGTCCGGCCTCAAAAATCTCATGTTAAATATACCTTCTCTTCATGGGTTAAAGCACCCAGAGGAGATATAGTGGGAATATAGTAAAATAGGAAAAGTGGTTGATCAAAAATCAGGAAAGCCAAGTTTTGATTCTTACTTTCCTACTAAGTACTTAGACTGCAGATGAGTTACATGGTATGTAGGGGAGAAAAGACCAAGAGTTCATATTCTTTTTTCTTTTGTGCTAGGATTACAGGTGTAAGCTACCATGCCTGGTCCAAGAGATCATACTTGGGGTTACAGAAAGAGTTCAAGGTCTAGACAGAACTAAAACGCAGGTCTCCACTTTCTAAAACACTGCTCTTTTAATTATGCCAGTGATACCTAAACTTTTGGATTGATTTTTTTTAAAAAAAAAACCTCTATTTTTAAATTTTGCCAAAGATATATTATTTTTAAAAAATCATGCTCATATATCACAGTGACTTAGTTAAAAATAAAAAGGCACTAAAAAATTATGAAGGATAATCTTATAGTACCAGAGAGCCCTTTATATGCTACCAAAATCTAGCCAAATGGCCAACTGAAACTGGGATCCTCTTTTCTTATCTAGAAGATGATTGCATCATAAACTTATTCTAGAGCTCCAAAATTCTATGCCTCATTTTGTATTTTAAATATTTCTAATTCCTTCAACCATTTTTCCTAAGCTAAATTTTCTTCATCATGCTGGTTGTTCTTCAGGATTTCAATGTTTCTACTAGAAAAGAGTTTGTTCAAAATTGAACAAAATGCCTCCAGACAAGAACCACTGCATCTAGGACAAGCACCCAATGCCTTCAGGGGGGTAGAGTGAAGGAGAAAGATATCCAATTTCTCTTATATAACCAGCATATACAAAAATTAGCTGGGTGTGGTGGTGCGTGCCTGTAGTCCCAGCTACTCGGCAGGCTGAGGCAGGAGAATCGCTTGAATCTGGGAGGCGAAGGTTTCAGTGATCCAAGATCACGCCTGGCGACAGAGTGACACTACGTCTCAAAAAAAAAAAAAAGAAAAAAAAAATATATCTCCATTATAAAGAGTTCAATTGCTTGAGGCTTTCCCTCCACAGCTATTTCCCATTTTGTTTCTGCTTCGTCTTCTTCCCCACCTTCACCTTCTCTGATCTCACAAAAGCCAGAAACTGCAAAATGTACAGATCTGGCAACCCCATGACTATGTGCAAATATGTCAGCTAGGGAATGTTGATTCCATCAAAGAGACTGCCCCAGTACTAAAGCAATTTACCCTGACACACCTTGCTTTAGTTTGTCATTCCTAAATTCAAGAAATACTACAGTAGGCTTAATATGCAAAAGCTTGAGATTAAGCACTGAGCTACAGCATAGAAACAATATAAGGAAGAAGATACACATTATCAATCTAAAACACACCAAAAACTGCCTAAAAACGAATGTGTAAATTACAGTTCAAAAATATAATTACCCTAAAACACTTCTGTCAAGTGCTCTGAAGTACTCCTAGTGTGTGAGCTGGACCCTGTTGTAGAGATGTATATTGAACCTGAACTGTCAACCTATCATATCATCATTAATAGTAGGATATATATATTTTTAGTAAGCTTGGTTAATTAATGACATTAAAAGGCTCTTCTGCATCTTTGGAACCACATTTGGGGAATTTTAGTTAAAAATTAAATTATTATCAAGTAAATGTATTTTTATCCCATATATTTCTAGCACTTCGAGACCTGTTTTTTAAAACTACAAGTCTCTTTAGTGACTTCTTTCCCCAGAGAAATTCAAATTAAGCAAAGTGTGATTTACTTTTAACTGAAAGCTGAAGAAATGAACACTCTAAGCTCCTTCATCAGAGTTAGTGCCCCATTGACCAGCAGCTGCCTGTCAAGCACCATAAAAATCCTGTCCCAGTGATTCTGCCACGCAGAACAATGGCTTAAGGCACCGTGCATCTTAACAGCGCCTGCCACTCAGAATTAAACTTTAAAGCTTTGTTCACAGATGCAGGGATCTACTATTTGACTAAATATTAAATCTTTTTCTTCCTATTGGAACTTTAATAATAAAAGAAAGGGTTTCATAAAGTTTTTTAAAAAATAAATTATATATTGAATTACAATTACGTTTCCTTCCACCAATGAAAAAAGATCATTTCATTATAAAACACTACAAACTATTTTTTATGATGAAGTTTTTATAACACAGATGATATTTTCCTATGATCCAAAGTGGACTCATGCAATTTCAAAAGAACATCTAAATAACAGTATTTATAAAAACTGGCATAACAGTTAACCTAAAAATGTAGGAGGAACTGAGAGAAAACCGTAGCTCAAAATAACCTAAAACCAGCCCTCAGAAGATGTTGGTCTATTTCCAAAAGAAAGAAGTCACGGAAAGACTTTACTGATATTAATTACTCTCAAAAAGGAACCTAAAACTAGTATTTATGCTTAACAACTTAAAGAAATCCTCTAATTTCCAGATATCTGTTGAACCTCTCTATACACTTTTAAACTTAAGAAAGTACGATTTTTTGGGAAAAGTGATTCTTCTTTGAAGTGAGATTTAACTTGGTGAGCAGTGACTCGGCAATCTTCTGATTTAGGTTTTCATTATTTTCCCAAAAGTGATTACTTTTCCAAGTATTTCCAAACATCCTTTCATTTTTTTTTTCCTCCCAGAACTACTTCCTGCTTCTTTTCTGTCTAATCAAATTGTATTAATTTATTTTTCTGCTAGTAATATACAAGCTTATTCATATTTGTCATTCCATTCAACATTAAGTAATCTTATTTATTCATCTGTGCATTAATTAATTCATTTATTTATGATTTTGGTCAATCTGGTAAGTGAAAAATAATGTTTAATTGGTTCTTTAATGTGCAATTCCCTGATTACTGTTAAATTTGAGCATTTGCCAGTTTCCTTTTTAAAGAAAATTGACAAGTAAGATTATATTTATGGTGAACATGATGTTTTGAAATATGTATATACTGTGGAATGGCTTAATCAAGCTAATTAACATGTGCATTACCTCAATAACCCATCCAACCATTATCTTTTCTTTTCCCAAATCTTTCCTTTGCAGTAAAAAGCACCAAATCACCCCAGCTGCCCAGGCCAAAAAGGCAGGGTGTCATTCTTGATTTCCCTCAAGTGCTCAAACTTAATTTTTTTTTTTGAGATGGAGTCTTACTGAACTCCAGTTTGGAGTACAGTGGCGTGATCTTGTCTCACTGCAACCTTTGCCTCCCAGGTTCAAGAGACAGATTCTCCTGCCTCAGCCTCCCGAGTAGCTGAGATTACAGGCAAGTATCACAATGTCTGGCTAATCTTTGTATTTTTAGCAGATGGGATTTCACCATCTTGACCAGGCTGGTCTCGAACTCCTGTCCTCAAGTGATCTGCTCACCTCGGCCTCCTAAAGCACTGAGATTACAGGCACAAGCCACCACGCCCAGCACTAAACTTAATCTTGAGCTAGACTAGTTTGCAGTCAAGCATATCAAAGCAATCAACTAGATTTGTCAATTATATCTTAAATATATCCTCTTCCTCTTCTCACTTCAATCACTTCAGTAACTTTTAAACTTTCTCCATTTATTGTCCAGATTTCTGAGACACCAATCTGAATATATTGTTCCTGGCTTATCTCTCTAGCCTTGTTCTTCAATCATTATTTCCCCAGTTACAACCAAGCCATACTGGATTTCTTTTGATTCTGTTCTCTATCAACCCTGGAGCTTTGACTTTCTAAGCCATGATATGCATGCCATTCTTCGTTTCACAGCTGTGTTTTGCTTCCTCCAGAAAGGTTTTCCTGGACTCTGAATCCTTAAGATTGTGTTGGTTGTCCTGAAATGTGTTCTACAGCACCCTGGTCTCCCTTCATTGTATTTATCATAATAAATTACATTTACTTATTCACCTGTCTCCTCTACTAGAGAATTATCTTTGTGAGAACCTGGACCACATATCTTTTCATTATTTTACTTTGTGGTCCCACAATTAGCATATATTAGTTGTAAAATAAATATATTAAGAAAAAGTGCATGCAAAAACAAATAAATGCTCACATAAATATATTTACTTTTTTTTTTTTTAGTTGGGGTCTCATTCTACTGCCCAGGCTGGAGTGCAATGGCACAGTCATGGCTCACTGCAGCCCCCAACTCCTGGGCTCAAAAGCAATCCTCCCACTTCAACTTCCTCCAAGTAGTTTGTACTACAGGCATGCGCCACTATGTTTGGCCAATTTTTTGAAATTTTTTTATAGAGATAGGGTTTTGCTAGGTTACCCAGTCTGGTCTCAAATTCCTGGCCTCAAATGATTCTCCTGCTTTAGCCTCCCAAAGTGCTGGGATTACAAGCATGAGCAACTGCACCTGGCCTTGAATTTAATACTTAGTTATGTACATTCTGATTTTCAAAAAGCCCAAGAATAAGACTGAAAATTACAGAGCAGTAGGCCTTCACTGCCTCCTTACTACTTGTCTCAGGAGATCCTTGCATTGCACCAAGCTGCAGAAACATGGGTGATAACAACAGGACGAGACAGGGGTGGGTTGGGAGGATAGGGCTTACTCCCTCCCTCTCCCAAATAAATGCAATCTCTACCTATAAACCAAGCCTTTCCTTGTGCTTGGTCAGGTAGAATGACTCCTTGCCACTAGCAAAGTTGGGTGACAGAAAATAAGAGACAGAGAATAAATACTTGTATCTGATCATCATAAACAAAAGATATAGTATAATGAAGCTATAACAGCTCTAACAAAATTTAAATCAATATTTTAATCAGTAGCTCAGAAACCAATCTACACCAACACAGCATCAAAGAAACCTGGGTTCATAATGACAGGATAGATACTTACCCCCTGGTTTCTTCTTCATGACTCCTCCCCTTCTGGATTTTAATCCACTGTTCCAATTGCTGCATTGAATTTGTTCTCTGTATGACTCGATCAGCCTCTGTGTATAAGGGCACTGTATTGGGGTGATTTCCACCTCTAAGATCTGCCAGGCTAACATTGACTATTTTGTTCTCGGAACTGTTTAAGTTGACTGGTCTGTAGTGTGCAGTTTGAGCAGGGCAGAATGACCCACTCTCATACTCAGAAGGCAGAGAATTCAACTTTACGCTATTAATTTTTGTTAAGGGTCTATCTTGACCATCTTTCTGAAATCCATATTTTTCAGCTTCTAGTGCCTTTTTTTCTTCAATTTTGCTCATTTCCTTGTTTTTCTGATTGTTTTGGATCTCTGGTTTAATTAGCACTCTATGGTTGGGAATGTTATTGGTTTCTTTAGTTGGTGCATGTTCTGATGTAATCTTGTCCACTCTGAAATCAGAGAAGAAAATCACAGATGAAATAATGCACATGTTACTTCTGGGATTCAGTCTAGGAAAAATTATACTTTATGGGGGTGGGGGCAAGGGTCACAGTGAACATGTCTACACAAATACCCAATGATGTCGTATTAACATTCAAGCACAACACCCCTGAATGTATAAACAGAAAAGGGGAAAAAGAAAACATCAAGAACTGGAGGGTAAAAAGTGATGTGTGCTCCCATCATTAGGAATCTGAAAATAAAGCAAATTAAGATTGCCTTATGACAGTTAAATCACAAAATCTACTCTTAAAGTACCATACTAGCTAGTCCCTTGAAAGAATCAACATGGCTCCCAGCCAGGATTAGCTCCTTGTTGACTCACGAGACAAACATGACTCTGGTTGTGGAAACGGCTGCAACAGGAAATTATAGTCTGATGCTATCTAAGATCCGAACCATATGATTAACGTTTCTAGTCTGTATTCAAGAGGAACTCAGTATGATTTTAGAGCTCTTAGATCCTGACTGCACATGTCCAGCTTGCAACTCTGTTCTTACTAGCTGTGTCTTTGGGCAAAGTACAGAACACTTAAAAGTACCTATGCTTCCTCTTTGGTAAATGGGTATAATTGTGTCACCAAGATCAGAGGGTATCTGTGAATGAGTGGCTGGCACAGACATTATTACCACTGTAATTCCATCATGTCAAGCAACCTTGGGTTAGAATCTGGCATCCCATGTCCACCTGCCCACTGAAAGAATGTGCCAGTTAACAGAATGTGTCTAGGCCACTTGACAGTTGTACTACTCACTATTCTAGCTGCTGTATCTAGGTCTTTCCCTGAGCCTCATCACTTCCAAGCTCTGACAAGATCAAGCTAAGTGTCTAAACCTGCACAAAACTGCCAAGATCATGTCACTCTAGGAAGCCTCTCAGGAGCCAGTCAACCCTCCATATTCCAATAAATAAAAATACTTCTATCAGAAACTAGGTATGGCACTGCTGCCAATGTTTATGATGTGTGGAAAATATGTAGATCTATATACATATTATCTGTAACCAATGATAGATGAAGATAGCTAAAAGTTTGGAGTATGTTCACAGAAAAAACTGAAAATAAAAAAGGTGACTATTTTTCTTAAACTTATGAACTATCCATTTATTTCGGTTAGATATAAACCATAGCTCCTAGATTAGAGGCAATATTAGACATTGGGAAAATTTACTAAGATAGGTTATGAGCTTGCTTCTCTTGAAAAATAAAAGTCGGCCAGGCATGGCAGCTCATGCCTGTAATCCCAGCACTTCGGGAGGTCAAGGCAGGAGAATTGCTTGAACCTGGGAGGCAGAGGTTGGAGTGAGCTGAGACTGCACCACGGTACTCCAGCCTGGGTGACTTTTATCCAGTGAGATTCCATCTCAAAACAAGAGCAGAAAAAAGTCAGAAAATTTACATTAAAAGCACATGTATCCTTGTTATTTGGGAGGGTAAGAATTTTAACATTAAACATAAATTAACTGAAAAGATTTTTAAAACATATTTACTGTAGTCTATCTAAAGCTATTATTATGACTGTCGTCATGATTATTATCATTATGTGAGACAAGGTCTCTTGCTGTATAACCCAGGCTGGAGTGCAGTGACATGATTACAGCTCGCTGCAACCTCAACGTTCTGGCCTCAAGCGATCCTTCCCTCTCAGCCTCCCGAGCACCTGGCATACACCACCACACTCAGCTGATTTTTAAATTTTTTTAGAGATGGGGTCTCACTGGTCACCTAGGTTGGTCCTGTACTCCTGGGTTCAATCAATCCTCCGACCTCAGCCTCCTAAATTGTTGGGGTTACAAGCATGAGCCACCATGCTTGGCCTAAATGCATTATTTTAAATTAAAACTGTGGTGTGTTCAGCCTCCCAATAAGATTTATCATTGAAAAAATAAGTCAAAAAGACACATGTGAAGACTTTTCTCTAAATGGAACAAAGCTGATTCAGAAAAGTATGCTAAGATACCATAACTAATATAAACTTGTGATCTAATTTTAAAAAGTGACATTTAAGTTATTGCAGAAAATACACTGCGATATACAAAATGAAAATAATGGGCTTAGAGATGAAAATTTACAGAGAATCCATATTATACTTAGTTTTTTTTTTTTTTTTTTTTTTTTTTTTTTTTTTTATTTTTTTTTTTTTTTTTTTTTTTTTTTTTTTTTTTTTTGGCTATCAACGATCTGTATACTATGAGACTATGACACTGTGGTGAATAGGTGAAATACTTTATAAAGTTAGGGAAAATGAACTCTCAAGTTAAAAAATGGATGCTACATCTCTCAAGTGATATTTTCTAATAAATATTTTAAGTATTTGAGCCGTACAGCAAAATTAGTGCACTACCTTAAAACCAAGCAAACAAAATCTCCCTATACTTACTTTCACTTTGAATGACTAAATCTAATAGGGTGGGATAAAAATGCCAAGAGCTAGGAGTAGGAAAAAACATGTAATTTCTACAGGATAATGGATTGTAATCTGGGCACACAGGTGGTATTAATAAATCTTGTCTCAGTAGATTAACCAGCATAGCTGGCTGAAAATTGTATAAGCACATAACCAGTGAACTATCAGGTTGCCAAAAACCAAGCCAAGCCAAATAATTGTCATCTTCATCTTCCCAAATTATGAGTAATTACTAGAGCGGTAAATTTAATAAAATAAAGTAGAAACAAGTTGAAATTCTGAGAAAAGTATAATATACAATATTGAAATTATTTGGACATAAATATTAATTATTATACAGATTTCTATATTCTAAACAATTCCCTAAACATTTTGTTTTGAAGTTAAAAGTACTGAAGTTGGCCGGGTATGGTAGCTCACGCCTGTAATCCCAGCACTTTGGGAGGCTGACATGGGTGGATCACGAGGTCAGGAGTTCAAGACCAGCCTGGCCAACATGGTGAAACCCCATCTCTTAAAAAAAAAAAAAAAAAAAAAAAGTACTGAAGTTCTATTTTTTTTGACAGGGTCTCACTCTGCTCACTCTGTTGCCTAGGCTGGACTGCAGTGGCACAATCACAGCTTATAGCAGCCTCCTGATTCAAGTTATCCTTCTGTTTCAGCCTACTGAGTAGCAGGGACTACTATAGGTGTGTGCCACTATGCCCAGCTAATTTTTTAATTTTTGGTACAGATGGTGTTAAGTCATGTTGCCCAGGCTGGTGTCAAAATCCCGGGCTCAAGTGATCCCTCAGCCTCCAAAGTGCCAGAATTACAGGTGTGAGCCACTGTGCTCAGCCTGAAGATTTTAAATGAATTCTTTTCACCTACACATTTTCTCGTTATCAGTGCTAACCACCTCATCTTTATGTCACTCAGGTAATTTTTACACAGGTAATTCCAAAAACAGATTTTCCTTCTATTTGCTCTCAATCTGGAATATGCATATGACTAAAGTGGTTTTTCTTAAAAATAGACGTCCTAGAACTATATCCTAGACCCTCTTTTCTTTTCGGTTTTTCCCTAGCTCTAATTACTACTGATTGGGTAACTTGATTTAGACTTCATATTTATAAAAATAGTACAAATATACAGCATCAACTTAAGTCTTTCAGCCCAAAAGCCAAGACTTTATTAAAATGCACACTAGAATAAGAAAAACAAAGGACTAAATTTATACAATCCCTCATTTCCTGAGAAGAGGGGAAAAAAGGCTCAACTCGCACATTACCATCTTTCTTATATAAGATATGTGCTCAACTGTCCCTGATTAAAATAAAAATTTGCATCATATTTTTTTCTTCAAATTATAGGAATATGTATTTTTAATCAACACATTATACTACTTGTATTTATGTAGTCTGAGAAACAGATTTCCTCTGACTAGATGTATTAAATATATCTAATCAGAGGAATAATATTAAAATGATTCATTTCTTCAAGCAGGGAAAAACACATGGGTCAATTTTAACAGCACTTATCTATATTACCAAGGAATCTGAGTAGTGGAGTTTCAATATTAAAAAGGTACAATTCAAGAAGTGGATATATTTGGAAATAATCTAAATGCTTGATGAATTATCTTCTAGAGACATTCATCACAAAACAATAAAAATTAATCAGAAATGTTGAAGAAAGTATCAAAATTTCTTACTGTAATTCTTTACACTTTAGAAACATCAACATAGTATTACACAAAAACACAAATTAACTTCATAAAAATAAACTCTCTTCTAAGATTTGGAATCTTAAAAATACCATATTAAGGATAAAAATCTGTGTAGCATTAAGGTAACAATTAAAAATGTACTCACCGGAAATTAAAGGTAATTCTGTAAGAAGAAAGAACATTCAGTTTGAATGTTAGGATTCTGAATTCACCCCAGTACACTGATAGGTGAAAATGAATAAAGAAGAAAAGTGGAATAAAATGTAGGCGGTATTGCAAACTAACAAAATGTGTATTAATTTAATTGAGAACAAGAATTGATCCTTGCTTTCTGAGGAAAAAATGATTTCATACCATGACTATTAAAATGATATGTACTATGATAGTGAAATACTTGCAAGGCATGGAATAAAATGGACGTGGAAATCACCATCATTTTTTCTACAAGCTTTTACCTTTTCACAGGTTCTGTCTGTACTAGGGCAGCATCTAACATGGCTTTCATCCACAACTCCATTTCCTTTCCTGTATCAGTGCAGAAATAATAGGTCCGCATGTTTGGATGGGCTGCCTGATTGTAAATGACACGATCATTTTAAATAAAATATAGGATTCTGTAAAAGAAAGAGGAAAAAGGTAAGTGATTCCTGACATAGATCATTGCTATCAAATTTCAGAGAAAGTAGACTTATCTTTTTTGAGATATAGAAATGAATCAAGAAAAAAATATAACTATTAACTTATATTAATTTTTTTCTCTTGACTTAACCCTTTTTCTTTAAGTTGAATGCACACTCTAAAACTAAAAAGGTACACGGAAAGGAAAGGAGGTGAGAACTGATTTAGTGGTGCCTTTTCCATCTCCACATTTCCAGCAATTTCCATTTACTGCAATTCACACCTCCTTTTTTTTTTTTTTTGAGACAGAGTGTCACTGTGTTGCCCAGACTAGAGTGTAGTACAGGTACGATCTTGGCTCACTGCAGCCTCTGCCTCCTGGGCTCAAGTGATTCTCCTGCCTCAGCATCCCAATGAGCTCGGATTACAGGCGTGGACCACCATGACCAACTAATCTTTGTATTTTAGTAGAGACGGGGTTTTGCCATGTTGGCCAGGCTGGTCTCAAACTTCTGACCTCAAGTGATCTGCTTACCTCAGCCTCCCAAAGTGCTGAGATTACAGGTGTAAACCACCATGCCTGGCCACACCTCTTTATTTAATAATATTCTGAGCAAACAGCAACAAAATTAATAGAAATGTACATGTTAAGGCATTTCCCTCCTGTATTAGCAATTTCTTTAGGCCTCAAAAAGCATTGCTGCATTTTCTAAGTATTTCATAGAATTCTTTATAGATATCTACACCCAAACACAAAAGATTTATAAATGATCCAAAACGGTGTTTCCTCTTAGAGCTGTTCCTTAATAAACAGCTTAAATGTTCTAAGTTAAGATTATTAAAACCACCTACAAAGTGTTACTGGACCCTCTGAGCGGGATTTTGAAAAAATAAAGATCACTGCCCATATTTGTGATCAATGTAAGGAACACTGGGCTGGTGTTAAGAAGATCCTGTTCTAGCCATGACTCAAGACACTAAGAAACCCCACCCATGCTCGCCATCAGTCAAATGGAAATATTTACTAGAGATGTCAAAGTACCCATTCTAGCTTTAAGTTCCATGCTTGTGTTCAATAATTGTCTATAAAAGTTTCTACTTACCATTCTGACATGCATTTGCATCAATGTCAACAAACTTAGCAGTAAAGCAGCTCATAAATTCAGGGGAAACAATACCACACAAGAGAGAAATTGAAAAAGCAATTACTATTCTTGTTACAGATAAAATTAAAACTAAACCAAATAATTACAAAGAAAATATACTTAAGATGCATGGTCACTTTTACTGCCATTTAACATTGTAGTATTTTTTTAAGAGTTTAAAAACCTGGAAAAAACATCCTACAAATAGCACAAATTAATAAACACTTGCTAAATTGATAAGCAATACAAATTTTAAATTCATGGCCAAATAACAGTCCTAATATCATGCACCTCTACATGTGTACTTCATAAAGTTATAATTTTAAGTTTTCAAACTATTAACCTTTGTTATAACATCATAAAATATTTAATTATGTTTTTCTGGTTTATACTGTTCACAAAGCTTATTTTGATAAAGGTAATTTAAATATGAAGATACTCCCCTCTTATCCTCAGGTCTTCACTCCAATTACATTACCTTCTTTCTCACTGAGGCCATCCATCACCCAGCCAACTCCTTAACCTCACCACTAGACCTTTCCTGTTCTTTTTCTCCTTGGCTAATGTAACAATTTTTTTTTTGATATGGAGTTTTACTCTTATTGCCCAGGCTGGAGTGCAATGACACAATCTTGGCTCACCACAACCTCTGCCTCCTGGAAATTCAAGCAATTCTCCTGCCTCAGCCTCTCAAGTAGGGATTACAGATTATAGGCATGTGCCACCATGCCTGGGCATATAATATGTACATATATGTACATTTACTAAAAACACTGTTATCTCTTATAGTACTCTGCCTCCAAATTTATTATTATTATTATTATTATTCTGACAGGGTCTCACTCTGTTGTCCAGGCTGGAGCGTAGCGTTGCAATCTTGGCTCACTGCAACCTCTGCCTCCTGGGATCAAGCAATCCTCCCACCTCAGCCTTTTATGTAGCTGGGACTATAGGCACATGCCACCACACCTGGCCAATTTTTCTAATTTTAGTGGAGGCAGGGTTTTACCATGTTGCCCAGGCTGGTCTTGAACTTCTGGGTTCAAGCTATCTGTCCAGCTTGGCCTCCTAAAGCCCTAGGATAACAACATGAACCACTGTGTCTATCCTATTAATAATTTTTTTTTTTGAGACAGGGTCTTACAGTGTTGCCCAGGCTGAACTGCAGTGGTGTAATCATGGCTCACTGCAGCCTTGACCTCCCAGGCCCAAGTTATCCTCCCGCCTCAGCCTCCCAAGTAGCTGGGACTAGCCACCATGCCTGGCTAGTATAGTTTCATTTGTTTGTTTGTTTTAGAGACAGGCTAGTCCTCAACTCCTGGACTCAAGTGATCCTCCCACCTTGGACTCTGAAAGTGCTAGAATTACAGGTGTCAGCTGCTGTGTCCAGGCCCCAAATTTATTATTTAAAAATTCGAAATCTTAGGAAGTAGAACATTTTTGGATTAAAAAAAAATTCAAACACATAGTAATCTTGAAAGAACGTATAATAATCAGTAGGACATCCATAATTATATTTATCAATTATTAGCATTCTGACATGTTTGCTTTACCTAGAACCATTTGAAAGCATACACATGAAGACACTTGACCCCTAAATAGTTTAGCATGTGCTTCCTAATTTGAGGGACATTCTTCTATACAACGGTAAGACCATTAATTAATATATTTTAAATATAAAAAAATCACTATAACTAAAATAGCCTTTTGTAATAATCTATGGTTCAATATTCATTTTTAACCAACGTGAGTTTTGAACACAGAATTAAAAACTGTATTATTTCCTTACCTTAAAAGCATATTTGCGATTAATGTGATCTTCAGAGGTAAGCAAAGCTATCTGAAAACTAGGTAACAGTATGCTTCCCAGGATACCCTCTTCTTTCTCATCTAAGAGATAATTTAACATCTGATTAGAATTTTAAATGTTCTCATAATGCACAGTAACATTTTTTAAGATCTATTTCTGCCAAATCAAAAGGTTCCTGTATATAAATGAACTATATTCATGTTTAGGCAGGTCTTTATAGGGTTTTCAATGAAAATATCAAATAGCACAAGGATTTACACTTTGGTATGTATACTACATTCTACAAAGCCCCTTTAGATGTCATTCACTGAAAATATACTGGTATATAACTAATGGCATTATTCAATCCTCATTTCTGATAGGATTTAAATGCCCAACCTTCTAACCCCAGACAAACAATACATGGCTTTGTTGGTTACATCATTCAGGCTTTGCTCAAAGGTCTCATCAATGAAGCCTTCCTTGACTACTGTATTTTAAAATGCTCTTTATTAACGTTTTCTCTGCTCTCCTTTGGGAATGTTACCACACTCTACTCTCAACACCTCCGGCATGCTGTATGTTTTAGCTATTTATTTGCTTGTTATCTTTTTCTCCATACTGGAATGTAAGTTATATAAAGACACTTACAATGACAGTAGAAGCTCAAAAACTGTTGAGTAAATGAAGACACATATTTACTTTTTATTTTTATTTTTCATAACATTCTTGGAGTATAGTGAATACAGGTTTTAAACTATGCTATAAAAATTACATGCTTTTTTAAACATTTAATTTTGAAGGTCTGCTTTTGCTGGTCATTGTGATACACAATAGAGTGGTGTGGCAAAATTATAGGCCAAGGCAAGCACATAAAATATACCTAGGAAAATGATAAACATTAATCTTGACACAGCATAGATTCACATTATTAACTTGCTGCTTGGCGGCAGAGATGTTTATGAAAATTGAAATATGTACTTCATTGTTATGGACCCATAAGACAAGTTAATAAAGCTGTGTCATCAGGCTAATAAACTCACCAATGAGAAACCATCAATGGGAAATAATTCTTTTTATTATGCTTGCTGTGTGTGATCTATTTTTCCTAATTATCAAAAACCTTAACAAGGGATTTTATCTATTTTGCCCTCATCTCTAAACGTTTAGAATGTTTCTAAAACATCCAAAAGGGACAAAGTTGTATTAAATGGAGGCTTTTTTTTTGATAGCTTTTCTCATAATAATGGAACAAAATTTTGTTTTTACTATTCTGTGCTCATTCTGGTACAATTCACTAATGCATATAAGAATGAACAAAAGTACAGATTTAGTCCAAAAGGTTAAAAAGAGTTGGAAAGCAGTCATGAATTATGGAGAATATGACAATTTAAAAGAATAAGTCACATCCTAATTTTGAATTCAATTTTATGTTTATGTTTATATAAAGGGTATCATCAGAAATAGCTTATGAAGTCATCTTTATTAAAAAATCATTTTAACCATGTAATACATCCTTCTATGTCCCATGATAAAATCATCTTTCCTAAAGTTTCTTCAGACTAGACAGAGGCACTATAGCACAGGGTGATTTCCCTAGACTACCTGAGGTTGTTTTCCTGCCTAACACTAACTAGCTGTGAGATCCTAGGCACATTATTAATGCTTCATATCCGTTTTTTCATCTATAAAATTGGGGATAATAGGACTTGCCTCAAAAGATTGTTATGAGGGTTAAATGAGTTAATACACATTAAAAAAACTCAGCACAGAGAGTGAAGCATTAAGTAAATACTGCCATTATTATATAAAATTAAAGACAGTGCATATAAAAAAATCTTCATCTTCTATCAAATGACTATCCCGAGTTCTTCAGCTTCTTAAACTGCTCCTAATCACAACATTCTTCTGTTTAGTTCTACATCAAGCCCGACCTAAGCACGGTCCTAGTTTCTATCACCTAGAGTGTCTCATAGACTGACAAAGAGTAAGTACTAAGTAATGTCTGTAGAATGAAAGAACTCTCCATGGGGTCAGCAGAGGCCTTTCTGAGAATGCATGGCAGCCCATTTTGTCTCTGCCATTTTCTTCCTTCATTTTGCCACAGCTGACGGTTCCAAGAACAATGCTCTTTAAAAAGCTTTCTACATATTAATCTCCATCACAGTTTGCTTCCTAGGGAACATGACCTGGGACAGGAGCCATAAGAATCTCAACATTTTACTGGATTCAAGTGACATTTTAAATTATCCATTTCCACTTAGTTTTAAAGATATTTGGGAGTAAGACAAAAAATACATGCAGTTATAGCTGGGTAAATATCACAATTATCATTTATAACCTGGAATACTCCAACACTGTTAAATGGTCTTTTGGCTTCTAATTAAAGTGCTAGAGTGATTTTCCGAACTTGTATTCCTGATCTTGTTATTCTTGCATTCAAGCTACAGTTCATTAGAATGGCAAACAAATGCCCTTTGTGCCTTAATCTACCTTTTCAATTTTTTTTTTTTGAGACGCTGTTTCACTCTTGTTGCCCAGGCTGGAGTGCAACAGCATTATCTCAGCTCACCGCACCCTCCGCCTCCTAGGTTTAAGCTATTCTCCTGCCTCAGCCTTAGCACAGTACTCAGCAAATAGTAAATATGCCAAAAAACATATACAGGCTACTATGATCATCTCACTAAAATCTAATTATTTTAATTTAAAATCTAACATTTCTTATTGATAAAATAGTGAAAATGTATAATATCAAATACTTCTTTCCAACAATCTGCAGAGTGAAATGATATTTTTTACTCTGAAGCGAATTAAATGATATTTCTCTTGTTTCTACAGTTTCTTCTTTTTTACATTCCTCCTGCATGGGAAACTACTAAAATTAATAAGTACATTGCATGTAAAATGTAAGTGGTTAATAATAAGGAATCTCAGACTCAGCATGGCTTGCTTTTTTTTCCCCCCAGCTTCTATTATAGGTTCAGGAGTACACATGTGGATTTGTTACAGAGGTAACTTGTGCGATGCTGAGGTTTGGAGTACAAATCAATCAGTCTCTAGATAGCACAGTACCCAATCGGTACTATGTTCAGCCCTCCCCAGTGTCTACTGTTCTGAACTTTATATCCATTAGCATGGTTTCTGACTCACTTTTACATTTTTCAAATATGATTAAAAGTTTTCCTATTATAGGCCAGGCACGGTGGCTCACGCCTGTAATCCCAGCACTTTGGGAGGTTGAGGTGGGCAGATCACGAGGTCAGGAGATCAAGACCATGCTGGCCAACATGGTGAAACCCCATCTCTACTAAATTACAAAAAAAAAAAAAAATTAGCTGGGGCGTGGTGGCACATGCCTACAGTCCCAGCTACTTGGGAGGCTGAGGCAGGGAAATTGCTAGAACCCAGGTGACGGAGGTTGCAGTGAGCCGAGATTGCACAACTGCACTCCAGCTTGGCAACAGAGCAAGACTTCGTCTCAAAAAAAAAAAAAAAAAAAAAAAAGTTTTCCTATTATAATAAAAGCGATGAGCCTCACCTCCCTGGGCAACAAAATAGCAAATTAAAAGGAATTCAGTGTTTTTTGGCCGAAAAGTAACATCAACAAATTCTTGGCTGGGTGCCGTGGCTCACATCCGTAATCCCAGCACTTCGGGAGGCTGAGGTGGGTGTATCATTTAAGGTCAGGAGTCTGAGACCAACCTGGACAACGTGGGGAAACCCAGCCACAAAAAAAAAAAAAATTAGCCAGGCATGGTGGCGTGTGCCTGTAATCCCAGCCACTTGGGGGGCAGAGGCTCGAGAATCACTTGAACCTGGGAGGTGGAGGTGTGGGCTGAGATCAGCCTGGGCGACAGAGGGAGACTCCATATCAAAAATTACCCACCCCCCAAAAATCCAACAAATTCTTATATTAGAGGTAATAAACATTTTCTTGTTATAAGTGGTCCATAAATATACTGAAAAAGAGAGGAAAAGAGAAATTATAAGCTTAAGGATAATGCCTGAACTACAACTTCTAACTTTCTGAAAGAGTAAGAAAACCCCTAAAGAAAATTGTAGAGTAAGCTTAGCATTTAACTAAAGATAATACCACAATTGCAGCCTGAGGAACATCTCTATGACAAAATGCAATTTTATAGGCTTGGTTAATTCTGAATCAGCAGTAATTCTCTAGTACAGCTTGCAGACAAAAATGATTCTAGTAATTCCAAATTTTGAAGGTTAATATGCATTATAATGCTTCAATACACAATTATAAATTTGCCACAGGTCTTTTGTGTAGTCAAAAAATATAAAAACTGCTAATCATTTCTAAAACTCTGTTATATCTTCTAACTTACACTTCGCAAGAGAAGTCATAAATTATTAATCATGGGTTGACAATCTAATTCTTTGTGGCAGTTTACAACCAAAGTTTAAAGTAGGGAAGAAGGAGAGAGAATCCAGATTCATGACTTTATACTTTAGCTGAGGCAGATTTCTCTGGAGAGCACCACCTAGGTATGGCTTTCATTGGCAAGTAACAACTTTGTAGCATCTCAGAGATTGTGGCATACGAATAGAAACATCTCTGGATTTTTATTTAAAACTGAATTAATAATTTACTAACCAGAAAAAAGCTATCTGTGTTTGGTTAAAAAAAAGAGTCCAGAATGAAAATATTTCTTTGTAATTTACTTTTTTCATTTGTCAATACATCATAGTAGTCCCTTATGTTCTGATATCATTTGCTGTGGAGCAGAATTGGGTGCTTGATGGAACCATAAGCTAGATCTGACAAAACTGACATGTGAAAAGAACCTTGTCAAACTAAGGCTTGTATCTGTAATGCATCAAACTCAAGGGTAGCATTATAGAGCAAAGATTAGGGAAGCTGGACTAAAACTCAGACTGAAGATGGTCTGAAGCACCGAATTTATTCTATCATAACCCCAAGACTGAGAATGGCATGTCAAAAAAGAAAAAATCTGTTTGATACTATTTGTTGATAATAAAATAGCACACAGAATTATAATACTTCTTTTAAAAAAAGTATCTGATATTTAATATACATACATATAATACATAACTTACTTATCAATTACAAAATAATACACTAAGATAGTCTAGGGTAAACTTACCTCTATAATAAAAGAGGCAAAGGTCAGAAAGCACAAACCAGCGTTTCTTCCACAATTTCATGCCAGTACTGTCCTGCATTAAATCAGCATTTTTAAAGATTATTTCTGAAACAATAAAAACTCACTTCTTGTGCATTTATTTATATTTTTTTGAGACGAAGTTTTGCTCTTGTTGCTCAGGCTGGAGCGCAATGACACGATCTCAGGTCTGAAACCTCTGCCTCCCAGGTTCAAGTGATTCTCCTGCCTCAGCCTCCAAGCAGCTGGGATTACATGCACCTGCCACTAGGCCTGGTTAATTTTTTTGTATTTTTAGTAGAGATGGGGTTTCGCCATGTTGGCCAGGCTGGTCTTGAACTCCTGACCTCAGGTGATCCACCCACCTTGGCCTCCCAAAGTGCTGGGATTACAGGACTGAGCCACCGTGCCTGGCCTTGTGCATTTTTTTTT